GTTCCAGGGGCCCAAGTAATTGGGCCATCTTATGCTGCCTTCCCAGGTGCGTTAGCAGGGAGCAGGATGGGAAGTGGGCAGCCAGGACTCAAATTGGCGCTGTGATATGGGATGCTGGCATCACAAGAGATGGCTTAACCCGCTGTGCACAGTGCCAGATCTCCATAACTTTTCACAAAGCATCAATGACCAAGTTTCACGGTAAATTTGATGTCTGTTGCCTCAATTTTAGAATGCATGTTGCTGTGATGGGGGCTCTTTGCTAACTGATGGTTTATCCTTCCTCGTGCTTCAAACTAGATTCTGTTCAGATATGCCATAGCATATCAGAGTATGTTTATTTTGGTGCAAAAAATTTAAAAATCTATACTAGTATTTTCATAATATACATTTCCCATTAACTTTTTCAAGATTCCACATATATAACTATGGTAAAGTTTAATTTATAAATGAGGCACAGTAAGAGATTAATAATAACTAATAACAAAACAGAACAATTTTAACAAAATACTGTACTGCAGTCTCTCTCAGAATACCTCACTGTACTGTACACACTCTTGTGACCACATAAGATGAAACGATGCCTGTGTGATGAAGTGAGGTGCATGACACAGGCATTGCGATGTAGGTTAGGCTACTTCATGATGGTCACCTGAACCCAACCGTGTGATGCCATAACCGCCCACCAGATAACCGAGCTGACCATTAACAGGTGGTAGTACATAAAATGTGGACATGTTTGGAAGAAGAGATGATTTGTGTCCAGGAGGGACAGAGGAAAGACTCCCTCCTGCTACTCAGACTGTCATGTAATCTAAAACTTGTGAATTATTTCTGGAACTCTTCATTTAATATTTTCAAGCTGTGGCTGACTGTACATAACTATAAAAGTATCCATGAAGAGAAACAGTCTTCTAATCTACCCAATAAGGCCACCTTTACACCTCACTTTTGCTGATCATTTACACTTTTAGGACTTGTTGGTTATCGCTATAATTAAACATAAACTCAATGGTAATTAAATCCATATTATAAAAATGTTTCTCTACTGCTTTACCAACATTAGAAAATATCCTGAGTCTTTGTTATGAAGAGGAGGCTTTAGATTACTTACACTGTCTCATTGTATTCCCCTACCCTAATATTTGGGGTTGTTTTTGTTTTTTCTTGGTTATCTTTGTAAACTAAAATAAAGGATTCATACATTGAATTTTCATTCCATTCATCTTAGTGTTTTGACTTACATTTATATAGAATAATAATAGCGCCATAATTATTATTTTATCTTTTCTTCTCATTGTTCTTCACATTTTGTTAGCAGTATCTTGACTTTTACATTATGGAGGTTGTTTAACACTGTTCTGTAACCATAATAAAATTTTCCACAGTTTACCTATCATTTCACTTTAGATATTATAAACTAAAAGTCTTTATAATATTTTAGCTATCTAAATATTCCTGATAGGTTAATTGCTGATAGTATACTTGGATTCCTTAAAAATTCATGAGACAGAATGGAAAAACAAATTTATTTTAGTGTAAAAAACTCTGAAATCCATGTATATGAGGCCCTCAAAAATTCATGGAAAATGCACATTATGAAAAATGCATGAATTTTAGCATTTTTTGTGCCAAAATAAACTTATTTTTAATTCCATTTTCCATGAACTTTTTGCAGCGGCCTCCTACAAAGAATAAATTCTATTTCTCATGGGTCCTGCACCATGCCCCTAGGAGCATTCAAAGGAGCATATCCCTGGCTTTGAGATCAGGCTGCTTTTCCTTTTATTATTTTATTTTTTTAAAGATTGATTTATTTATTTTGAAAGTCCGAGTTATAGAAAGTGAGGGAGAGGCAGAGAGACAGACAGATCTTCCACCTGCTGGTCTACTCCCCAGATGGCTGCCAGGGCCAAGGTTGGGCCAGGCTTATGGAACTCCATCTGGGTCTCCCATGTAGGTGGCAGGGACCCAAGTCCCTGGGCCATTTTCTCCCTTCCCAGATGCATTAGCAGGGAACTGGGTTGGAAGCAGAGCAGCTGGGACTCGTACCAGTGCTTATGTGGGAATCCAAGGGTTCCAAGTGGTAGCTTAACCTGCTGTATCACAATTCTACCTCATAGTTCTAATTTTTTTGAGGAACCTTCCTGATGTTTTCCATGATGGCGGTGCCAGCTTACATCCTCACCAATGGTTTATAAGGGTCCCTTCTCTCCACACTCCACTTTTTTGACAGAAGCCATCCTAGTAGGTGACGTGTTATCTGTGACTTTCATTTGCATTTCTGATTAATGGTGCTGAGCATTTAAATATACCTGTTGGTCATTCATCTGTCTTTTTTGAAAAATGACTACTCAGATCCTTTGCCCATTTTATAAATAAAGTTATCTGTTACTACTGGGTTGTTTGAGTTCCTTGTTTATTTTGTATTTTCTCTTTATCACATAGATGGTTTGCAGATATCTTTTTCCCATTCCTTAGGTTGTCTCTGTACTCCAGTGGTTGGTTCCTTGGCTGTGCCGCATCTTTTTAGTTTTATGTAATCCCATATTTTTGCTTTTGTTGCATATGCTTTTAGGCTCATATATATATAAAAATATTTTCCATACCAATGTTCATAGGGCTGTTCTTTTTATCCGTCTAATAGTTTTACAGTTTCAGATCTTACATTTAAGTTTTTAATCCAGTTTAGGTTGATTCCATATACAGTGTGACAAATATTTCTCTAGGGGCCAGTGCTGTGATGTAGCTGGTTAAGCTACTGTCTGCAGTGCTGGCATCCCCATATAGGTGTTGGTTCAAGTCCTGGCTGCTCCACTTCCAATTCAGCTCCCTGCCTTCATGTGGGAGACCTAGAATTGACTCTTGGCTTTGGATCGGCCCATCTCCAACTGTTGTCACCATCTGGGGAGTGAATCAGCATATGGAAGACCTCTCTGTCTCTCTCTGTCTCTCTCTCTGTGTGACTCTGCCTTTCAAATAAATAAAATAAATCTTTTTAAGAAAATATTTTTCTTATTGTGTAGTTGTTTTGTATAATCTTTATTAATATTGTAGTTATTTTTCAAAGAATATGCTTTAAAATCTCAGAAAAACAGAAAATAACCTTCACTCAGGTTCCCTTTACGTTAATTAGCTTTTTGTCTCCATAATGAAATTCCCGAGAAAACTAACTTTATAAAGAGAAAAGGTTTATTCTGCTCACAGTCTTTTGGTAAGATTTTATATATTTATTTGAGTGGTAGAGTTACAGAGAAAGGGAGAGACTGTGAGAAAATGTCTTCCATCCACTGGTTCACTCCCCAAATGGCTGCAACAGCCGGAACTGGGCTGATCCAAAGCCAGGAGCCAGGAGCCTCTTCTAGGTCTCCCATGTAAGTACAGGGGCCCAAGCACTTGGGCCATCTTCTAACGCTTTCTTAGGCTGTAGTAGAGAGCTGGATTAGAAGAGGAGCAGCTGGAGCTACAGCTAGCACCCATATGGGATGCCGGTGCCGCAGGCAGAGGCTTAGCCCATTATGCCACAGCGTTGGCCCCTCACTGGCAGTTTTCACCTCAAAGGTGGTCAGCTAGGCCACGTAGGCCGAAAGCTGGTGGACCCTGCATTCAAACCTGCGATGCACAGGGTGTCACAAAAGCCACCAAGGTTTCTAAGCCACTTCTTTTTCCTGCCCTGAAGAGATCAGCACGGAGCCTGCACCAGTTGGGAGTGAAGTAACCAATACAGTGCAGGAGATCTGAGGGTAGAGAGACAGGAAGTACAAAGGGGCCTGACAAGGGGAGGATTTTGTGTGTCAGAAACAAGAAAGAGAAGTCTGTGGCAAACAAGGGTAATGGGACCCGGCTGCCTGGCAACACTCCCAGGGAGGCAGCTAAGTCTGAAGAGAAAACAGCTGAGTGGTCCTTATAGGAAGATGGGCCCTGGGTTTCTTTACCAAAGATGCCAGAGCCTGACACACAGCACAGAAGCGACAAAGATCGCCCAGATCTGGAAGGATCTTCTGGCCAGGAGTGGCTGAAGTCTCAGCAGTAACCCCGGCCCTATCCTGGTGCTGCGTAAAGCCTCAGAACCGCAGGACTCTCAGGAAGGTATGAGGTTAAAATTCCCCTCCAGCCTGGTGCATCAGGGCCAAAGTCAGGAACTCAAATAGTAACAGAAAATCAAAAAGCTTGTATCTATCAGACCTGAGACTTATCTTTTCTGTAAGTAGAACAATGATGAGCTCACCACATAGAGTTTAAGTTGCACAAATAGAAAAGGAAAACTGGGAAGCACACTGTTGTTTCATTTGTCTGGTTGCATCAGCGAAAGCTGTTCCGCATGAGTGAGTGTTCTGATCGGTAAGGAAAGAGTCTATGCTAATGTAGGAATTACCGCTCTCGGCTGGAATCTGCTGAACTGGAGGCTACTGCCCTTCAATTACTCAGACAACTTTCACAACTTCTGGTCTTTTTTCCTCTTAGCTTTTCTCACTCTCCTGACTTCATTTATAGTCCGGTAGCAATGGCCTCTGCGGATCTCAGCGTGCTTGGATTCCAGTTATCCCCTCTCCCTTTTTTCCTATTCTAATGTTCTGTTTCCACTAAATCCTGGGTTGAAAAACCAGAAACCAAGCATTTTAGGACTCTGCTTAGTCCCAGAGTTGTGGCTGTGATGCTTCTACAGCCTTTTCGCTTCCTACCAGGTTCTTAGCCACGTTCTGTGTTGGCATTCTCCAAGTTATCTGCTTGAATTTCCAGCGCTTCAGAAAGTGCTTCAGTTATTACTGTGGGTGGCATGGGAAGTCGGAGTGGTCCCGTTTATCTATTTTATACTAAAGACTCTCTTTTAGATCTCACTTAACAAAAGGGTTTTATTGCTAAGACAAATGAGAAAACTTCTCTTCTAGGCTTCTAACCTTAGATCAGTGTAGCTCAATTGACATGTTATAGTAGCAAGTTTCTTAAAAGCCTCTGAAGCTCCAAAAGTGGAATCATTTTCCAAAGGAGACGGAAGTTACCTGAAGCAAAGGGATGAAATCCTCCTGTTCCAGAGAGCTGCAGCTGGGCTTTGCAAGAAGGCTGATGAACTTAGATGCATCATCGTGATGGTTACTCAGCAACCTACAAAAGAAACAAGGGCTCATGAAGAGGGGCTGCTATGGAAAACAAGGACTGCAACCCCAACCATTGCTAATTTCAGTCTGGTCTGAAGGCTATTTAGTTCAAGAACCATATGGTCTTTTTAGACAGATGAAGCAAAGGGAGAGAAAGGTGTTGTGACACAGTGGGTTCAACCACTGCTTGAGACACTCGCATCCCATATCAGAGTGCCCAGTCTGAGTCCCAGCTCCTCCACTTCAATCCTTCCTGCTAATGCAGCCATGAGGGCAGAACACGATGGCCCACGTACTGGGGTTTCCTGCCATCCATATAGGGATCCAGACGGATTTCTGGGTTCCTGGTTTGGCCTTGCCCAGCCCTGGCTGTTGCAGGCATTTAGTGAATCAGTAGCTGGAAACTCTTTCCCTCACAACCCCCACTTTTCCTCAATCTCTGCCCCTCCCTCTCACTCACTCTGCCTTTCAAATAAATAAATAAATCTTTTCAAAAAATTTAAAAATGGAATTTTCTATACTCTTGATTTTGTGAAAAGGGCATCTCATAAAAGCTCAATAACAAGATGGCATATTACTTTTTAAACTGTATTTGAGGCTGAGACCAGAGTCAGCTGAACTAATGTAGGTGAAGTATGTATTAAAATACACTGGATAGAAAACGTCCATTCAGGTTAGCAAAGGACATGTGGGATCCGAGGTAGGCACCAGCCAGGAGGGGATGCATCAGATGGACTCCGTGTCCCACACAGGATAATACATTGTGCATGCCCAGGTTGGCAGACACACTCAGTGCCACCCTGATAAGGGGCGTTTGAATTTAGACTGAAGGAACAGGCTTAAAAAAAATGAATGCTCCATTAAGTCTTCTAAGAGTCCAGAATTCCTTTCCTCCAACTTTTTGCTGGACGTTCCCACCTGGAGACTATACATGGATATTAAAGTTGAAATACTGAAAACCAAATTTTAAACCATTTTTTTGAAGTCAGTCCTTTATCTTGACATTTATTTGTTAATGGTGGTACCAACTTGAGTTGTCTGGGCTCAAAAATTAAAAGTCGTTTTCTCTTCTATTTTTCTTCATATCTAATAAGGTTCTAAATTTTCTTCCTTAATCACTGAATGCTGTGTGGAAGGTATTGTGTCTGGCTTTGAAGATGCTTGGAATACAAAGAAACTAAGAGGAGCTTTCAAAAAGTTCATGGAAAAATGCAATTACAAGACCATGTACACCTTCCATGAACTTTTTGAAACTCCCTCATAAGGCACGGTTTTCTGCCCTGCCAGGAGCTTACATTCTGGTGAGAGAGCCGTCCCAGCACTGTGCTACTGGGGGACAGCCAGGACAGGAATAATGAGCACAGGCTGTCAGGGAAGGACTCAGCAGGCCAGTGAGATTCCCTGGAAAGCAAAGTTGGGGGAAGAATGGTACAGTAGGGAGTGCAGCGTGGACAAATGCCTGGTGCGTGATGCATGGGACATCCGGGCAGCAGCATGTGCAGGATGGGAAGAGAAGGGGGAGCACTGCTAAGAAGTAACACAACTTTCCATCAGACTGGATACGGGCAGGCAGACCAATGCTAGCGCCCTTTTACGTCAGGTCAAGCCTGGGTTTCAGCCCACTCTACTGAAGAACTGTCATGTGATAATGCCACGTTCGGAAGCCTTTTTCAGAAAGCCAAGCAAGAAACAATGAGTGCCTGAGCATGGATAATGGCAGTGAGAGAGAGAGAAAGGGCCCCCTTTGGAAGAGGTGAAGGGCCATGGTAGTTGACAGGTGTGGGGGGTAAAAGGAGGTAGTCTAGACAACGGCCGTGTTTCTAGCTTGGCCCATTAGGTGCCCAGACACAGGAGGGGAATACTGGAGTCTTAAGGAGTTTTAGACAACTGTTCCTCCCTTTCTATTTCCACTTCATGTCAAGTCCAGGGTCTCACTATTTCATGTGAAGACTGTTAGCAGGGAAGAGGTTCTTAATAGGCTTCAGTGCTCATCCCGCCTTACACTGTAGGCAATTCATCATTCTAAAACACTGTCTAAAATAATTTCCTTTGTCAAACATGTTCAGTTACCATCTACCACTTACATGCGTAAGTCTAAATGCCTATGCTGGGCATTGAAGGTCTTTTTTTTTTTAAATTATTAATTTATTTGAAAGGCAGAGTTACAGAGAGGCAGAAGCAGAGGCAGAAGCAGACAGAGAGGTCTTCCATCTGCCAGTTCACTCCCCAAATGGCAGCAACAGCTGGAGCTAGGCTGATCCGAAACCAAGAGCCAGGAGCCAGGAGCCAGGAGCTTCCTCCGGGTCTCCTATGTGGATGCAGGGGCCCAAGCACTTGGGCCATCTTCTACTGCTTTCCCAGGCCATAGCAGAGAGCTGGATCAGAAGGGGAGTAGCCAGGATATGAACCAGTGACCATAAGGGATGCCGGCACTGCAGGTGGAGGCCTAGCCCACCATGCCACAGCACCAGCTCCTATGGTGTAGCTTTTTTTTTTTTTTTCCAATTACTTATTTGCATTTTGTTTGAAAGGCAGAGAGACAGAAAAATCATTCATCTGCTGGTTTACTCCCCACAGTGGCCACAACATCAAGGGTTGGGCCAGGCTCAAGCCAGGAGCCCAGAACTCAATCCACATCTCCCACGTGGGTCTCAGGGATCCAAGTACTTGAGCCATTATCTGCTGCCTCACAGAATGCACATTATCAGGAAGCTGGATCAGAAGCAGAGGTGCCAGGAATTGAGCGAGGCTCTTTGATATGGGATGCAGGTGTCCCAAACAGTGACTTAACCACTGCACCAAACACCTGCCCTAGGTTTAGTCTCATCATCCTCTGACATGCTCAAGGCCCCTGAAGTTAAATAAACACGTTTCAGATAAGCCTCCCGTAACAGGTGCTAATGGGTTGCTAATTAGGATCAGAAAATGGGTGGAATGACCACCACAGAACGGCAGTGAGGCCTCTTATAGTTCATATATGATTTGGCTCCCAAAGTCACACATGATGTTAAGTCCCCAAATCATAAGTTGGATGGTAGTTAGAGGGTGGAAACTTACTTCAGTTTATGGTGTTTGGGTGGTGGGTCTCAAGTGAGGTCCTCAGGCCACTAGGGATGTGCCCTTGGTAGTTCTGGAGAGATGAGGAGAAGCCTCTCTCTCTGCTTTCTGGCTCACCATCTGAGTCTCTGCACGAGCTCCCCACCATTGCCATCTACCTCCCTCATTAGAGGTCAAATCAATGGGGCTGCCCAATCTGGGACCTGAACTCCAAAACTTTGAGCTACATAACCGTTTTAAAACAAAGTTAAGTCACCTCAGGTATTTTGTTGGAGTAATGAAAAGCTGCCTGCGGAAAACTGGTACCGAGGAGTGGGGTCATTACTTAGCACCATAATGAAGGTAGAGGAGCTTTTGGAGTCAGTTTACCAGAAAAGGCTGGGAAAGTCTGAGGAGCAGGAAAGAGAAGGCCTAGGATGCAGTAAGTGGAGCATTAAGGGTGATTGTGGTGAGGGCTCCGCAGACCAGAATGCTAACAAAAACATGGACAAAAGGCCATGTTGATGAGGTTTCCAATGGAAATGAGGCTTCCACTGGGAACTGAACCAGACATCCCTGTTACACTGTGGCAAGGAACCTGGCTTCACCGCAGCCAAGCCTCCAGGCTTTCTGGAAGGCTGAACTTAAAGAGGATGCACTAGTTTATCTGGTGGAAGAGATTTCAAAGCAGCAAAGCAATCAGGCTGTGGCATGAGCACTGTTGGTTGTTTTTAGTCAGTTTCATAGTGAGAATCTGAAGCACAAAGGAGACAAGCAGAAAGTCTGGGGAAATTCACAGACTGGCCAGAGTAAATAATGAAGAGAAAGTGGCTTGTTTGGGACAGGAGAGTGCAGTGGAGAAACCACTTGCTAAAAAGGTAAAAGACAGCCATATGCAAATGGCAGAACAGTGGGCTCAAGGCCTGGAGGGGATCTCAGAAATCTTGCAGGCAGTCTCTCTCCCCTCACAGGCCTACAGCCGGGAAGGGTAGAGATGTTTCTTGGAGCCGTGCGCGCTTTTCTCTAGCTATCCCAGGAACACAGGTGATTCATTTCCCTGTTGTCAGCCCGTGAAGCACTCTGGCTGCGGCTATGTTTTGAGCAGGTCCAAGTGCAACTTGTGATGGGAGCAGACCTCGGTGTCATTCCCACGTTACTGATGTTGAAGGCATGTAGAATGCAAGAGGGGTCAGTTGGTCTCCACCAAGATTTCTAAGGAAAGTCTGGGAGGCCAGGCAGGACTGTTCTGTAGGGCTGAAGCTTCTGCTTGCAGCCCCTGAGAGGGCAAAGCCTCCTGGAGTTGTGGGAGTGAAGCAGCAAAAGAGATCCTAGAAAGGCGTCTTGAAATGTCCACCAGGGAAAGCTGCAGTGTCCCCTGGAACCCTTGGAAAGCTGTCGACATCAGCATGTAAAGCCAGCCCGAGAGCAGCCATGTGGGCTGTGAGAAGCAAGGCCGCAGGGGCAGCGCTGCCCAAACCCAAGGGCCTTGCCTCTCACAATGTGCCCAGGATGCCGGCTTTAATGTTTATCTGCTTTCAGTCTGGCTTTTGCACTCTCTGTTTCCTTGTCCCCCTTTTGGGATGGAAACGTATAGTCTGTGTCTGTCCCACCACTGGATTTTGGAAGAATGTAACTTAAAACATTCTCTGTTTCACTCCCGAGGTGATATCAATGGCTGGGGCTAGACCCAGAGGCTAGGAACCCAGCCCAGGTTTCCCACATGGGTGGCACGCACTCAACTACTTTAGCCATACCTGCTACTTCCCAGCTTGTGTATCCGCAGAAAGCTGGAATTGGGAGCAGGAACAAAGAATTCAATCCATTCATTCTGATGGGATGCAGGCATCTTAACCAGCGTCTTAACTGCCAGGCCAAACACCACCCTATAATTTGCTTTTACAGGGGGCTCACAGCTAGAGGAAGTTGCCTTGTCCCTGAGATGAGAATTTGGATTTTGGAAGTAATGCTAGG